AATTCAATTTACATTCAACTTAAGCGATCAAACGCTTATCTAAATGCCTACTAAGTCGATATAGCTGAAGCCATGTAAGGGTGAATTACTTATAATATTATGAAACGAATAATTATATTCTATATTAGAGAAAAAGAGTACATAGTCACTTTTATTACAAAGACTAACTATTGCTAGAGTCTCCGTCTTTATTTTAATTTATTAATTACTATTAAACTTATGTTTTTACTCTGAGAGTTCTTCAAGATGTTCAACATCTGTGGCAAATTTTATCCATGAAAATGTTCAAACCTTACTCATATTATAAATGCAAAAGTTTAGATGGATGGATGTTTGATAGATCCTAGCCAAAACGGCTAAACGGATCTCTATGTAATTTAGCACAGTTGTAGAGTATAGTCTGGAAGAACACATAGGCTACTCACTATTTTTTTTTAATTCCTCGAGGATGGAGTCGCGGGCGAAAGCTAGTTTATTAAATTACGAGGACAGTATAGTAAGAAGTGTGATTATTGACAAGTTGCATATAAAATAAACAGAGACAACTTAGCATAAACATAGGGATTTTATAGCAACGAGAAGCGTTTATTATGCGAGTGGTCGAGTATGAAAGATTAGTCACGTAAAGCCATAACGTCTAGTTGATTCAATTTTACTTTAAAACTGATTTGCAAAGGAGTTGAATTTGCTTTGTTTTAACCCTTAATTCGACGGAGATTGTGTAGCAAAATGTATGTATGTTACTAACACACTAAAATCTAAATCTCAAGTATTTCTCTCTTAACTAGTTCAATAGTTTTTTTTTTTAAATTAGTTGTACGTCACACTCTATACTATCGAATAAGGGTAAACGGTATTGTAAATACTATGTGCAGAGTTCACTAAACGTTTGCGTCGGTGTATTTGATATAAAAATAAACTACTAAAGAATAAAACATAGTAATAATGAATGTAACTACTGAAATACAAAGATTTTATGTCTCATCCTTATGAGGATGGCGTGTTTTTACCAAATTGAAAGCGTTACAATGTTAAAATTGCCTTGCCCAATGTAGCATTTTATGACATTTAACTAAATAAATAATTTCAGTAGTCATTTGTTTAAATAACAGTCTTGATACAAATAAACTAAAAAATGCTATTCGATTACGTTTTATGTAACTTATGATAGTTTATAAACAGATGATTAAAATGTTTTATTCCATCAAGAAAATTATTTATTTGTCCTTCGTTATATACTGTCGCGACATATATAAATTATTCTTACTATTGGTAATTAGGAGTTCAATAGGCAAGTTAGAAACAACTGACTCCAATGAACTTCTGTGACCCTGGTAGAGAAAACATCTAGCCTTATTGAAAAAACAGATAAACAATAATTAGTGCCTTTTACTAATAAAGAGTGGATTTTCAATTAATTAAATTAGTAAATATCGGAAGATATTGTATAGTGTACACTAACAGCTACATAGTCTTTACTTAGTTACTTAACTAAGGGTCTGCTTATATAACCTTTTAGTGACTAAGTGGGACAGTCGATTTTTCTTTAGACATAGAGAATAGAACTGAATGTTGAGTCGAGTAAGGTAACTTTTTTGTAATATGTATAAGGTGACAAACGATCAACCAGCCACTGGCATTCGCCAAAACAGCGAAGCAACCACTACCAATAGATATATCATTAGAAGGATATGCCAACTAAACTAGACAGTCTCATGTCCCCACTATATATAAAATGAGTGAATCATAAAAAATAGAAACAATAAAGTTGTTACAATACAATATAACATTATAAATATGAACATTGCTTCGAAATGAGCGATTCGTACTCTGTCCTCGTGTGTTGTAACTGATAATGAGTAAATAGGAATTTGCCGATCGTAACACTCAAGTACGCATATAACCGATAGGGTTTGTCAATGAACCTAATGTAGAAAAATAAAATAGGTCATAAATTCCACTGGGTTCTAAAACAGCGCCAAGATATACATAAGAGAATGTGCATCGAGTTTTTATAAACGCTTACTCCCATTATGAAAGGAACTTGAACTAAAAAAAATAGATTGCAATTGCAGACCTTATGTTAAAAGATTGTTTTAAGTATGATGCAAAGTATGTTAAATCTTCTTGAATATTTATATTATTCTACAATTTTATACTACAACACTAACGGCCAAATACTGAAACGAAATTTAAACATCACACTTCGTAAGCAGCGCTTACAATCTGATAGACATCAAAGAAACAGCTTTCTTATACATTGATTGCTGCATTTTCTTTAGGGTTACCTTAAAATATTATTGTATTTTATTTCCAAGTGGCAACCCTAAGTATATAAGCAACTGTTATTACAACCTTGAGTTTACGTAATAGGTGCGATTATGTAAAGTTACTGGACGTGACCAATACAGATTGCATTTAAACATTAAAAAGTTTAGTTACTGTACTACAACACGTACCATAGGTCAGTGTTTAGAATAAGGGCCAGTCCCACCACTGGCAGATAGTTTAAAATGACGTCACTGTCATATAAGGTAACAAAATCCGATATTTCCATCCTATATTTTACACGTTAGATTATTATCAGACAATTTACAATTTACAATTACAGTGGGACAGACCCAAAAACCGCTAGTTTCCACTGCCACAATACATTATTGTCTCCATAAGTGTCTGAAGAAAAACATAGACAGCAATAATTTTAGCTACAAGTATTTCAGTGTTAAAAACATGGAGTAAAAATAAACAATTATAGATGTACATTACATACATAATGAAAAACTTGGGTTCGCAGAACCATCTATTTCTACTGGACATCAACAAATTTGTGAAATGTTCCCAAAAATATAATTACTTGTAATTAGCGAGTAACACGAGTATTGGTATAATCTATACTATTATAATAAAGCGTAAACACACACTTCTTTGCTGCCTAAGATGTCGGCAATTACATCATATTTTTGAATAATAATTTTTTTAATAAAAAGCCCTACAATACGTCACGCTTTAGGCTATACATTTTCACGCCATTTAACTTAAGGGGAAAATATTTTGGATAAAAACTCTAATGTGGGAAAGAGACCAAAAGTTACTGCCAACATCAAGGCAGCAAGACTGCCTTGGTTGTCATTATGTCTAGTCACTTTGACATTTGTAGTTGATAATTTGACAATTGTAAACAATGAAATAAAATTTTCATAATTTCATGCGGATGTCGCACGGGAACAGCTAGTTTAATATTTATACATATGCTCGACACAACAGCAATAAATAATAAAGTCCCAGTTGTAAGAATGACATAAAAATGTTTGTATGTCATGTTTCTATGATAGATTAATAAATGTATACACATTTTTATATCCATCTATACTGATTTTAGTACAGTTCATTTGTAACAAAAATGCATGAATATTAGGATATTTCACCAAGTGTAGTATGTGCACTAATAAATAAAGAGAGAGATCCTAGTATCTCTGTGTACACTGTGGACTCTCGTAGTCGCAGAACCATATATAATAGTATATATACCTTAGCTTGACCTTCTGAATCATAGATGTTAACGTACATTTAGAGAGGAGGCACATCTTTGACTAAACTATCGCCCAACTATTGTGCGATCTTCGATTGTTTCACAGTCCAGCTGATTAGTTGCACAACTAAAATTCGAGTAGTGTGCGCACCTCCATATAAGTTTATAGGAACCAAAGCGCGACTAAATAGTTTTGTCTAGCTTAGTCAAGGTACGCTTTTTAAATACGAAACAAATTAAGACAATTACAACTATACTGTTGACATTTGTAGGGAATTCTTGTAACGGAGCAATGTATATGTGTACTAACTACTAGACTAAACGCACCATAATGATTTATCTCTATCCTTATCATATCTTATTGACTAAACAAGATAACATACATTCCATATCATTATTGTTCTACATGTATCTGCATATTGAAAATACGATATTGAAAATACATACGAGTAGTACATCTGTTCACAATTATTGAAATATTTTTATACTATACTTTGAACGTATAAAAGAAATTAATTGGATGTATTATTTATAAGATAAGAGAGTTAATAATTTATTCAGAAACTGTCTCGTAATATTAAAATAAACGTCGTATTTTTGATTTATAAATGTTGGAATTGCATAAGAGATGACCATGAACCATTTATAAAATTAATATTTAGTGAAATGATATAGTTAGCTAGTTTCAAACTAGAAAAACAATTCAAATGACATAATCCCTGTAACTATGACTTATTAAACTAGAAATAAAACATACAAATACACAAGATTACTTTCTAGTATGCATAAATCTAACAAAGTACAAAAGATATTTATAAACGCATACTTTAGGTACACAATAGCCTAATGGTTTGGGGTACGGACTACCGATCCTGCGGTCGAGGGTTCGAATCCCGTCACTCGACTACTGTCGTGAACCATATATTAGCACAAGCCTAGAGCCTAATTGGAATGGTTAAAGGAAATATTAGTAAACTAACAAATATCTACTAATGTTTTGATTAAAATAAATAAACGTTACTATTCTATAAACAAGTCTTAATATTGCCAGTAAAGCAACAATGTTTCAAACAACCTATATAGACTTAAGTGCAGATTACCAACAATATCCCTTACCCTAGTATTTACCATAAAAGTAATATTACCTCAGCATCAAATTCCCTCCAAGGCGCGAGTTGCCGCTCCGTCTCTCTAGCAGACACGAAGAGGGCCACCCTCTGCGGTCGCAACGCGCGTAGCAGCCGCGGTAACGACGCGCCGAGTACTATGACGTCATCACAACTAGCACCAATCGCAGCGCCGATTATAGCTTTTGACTCTGACCTGGAAGAAAACATTTTAATTAGAAAAACCGATCTATAAAAAGTAAATATATAGCCTACCCGCAACTTTGGCTATTTCAGTGTTTATGCAGTTGAGTCAAAAGTGTTCGCACGATTTAGATACTTGAGTAACATTGCATAGAAAGCCTTTCAATGTAATACAAAGTTCAGTGCGAAGGGTAACAACGCGATTTCTCTTAATTTAAGGACATCAACAAACATACATACCTATAAATATCGCTCTGTCCTGAAGTGTATGATAGTGCGGTGCACCTCGTCGCATGCGTTGGTAATACATCTCGGACGATGTATTCTTCAATCCACTGCAATGCTCGTCCGGAGCCATTGTAGTCGCAGTATACAACTGGAAGAAAATAAAACATTCATTTAGACATTGAAACTTCCAGTTTAATGGCGGTTTCCCAGCTACATTTAACCATTCGATAGTGTTTTTGATTTAATAACTTCATGAAATGAGTTTCCGAACTATTAAACTTGAGTTTTAGTCCGTAGAAACAGGTAAACGTAACTAATGAATTGATAGGTATTCACAAAATAAGTGGTAACTTCAGGAACCCACCCCCTTGTGATACACATGATTAGTTATTATACAAAGTAATGATAAGAAAGTAATATGTTGCAAATAGAATGTTTTAAAAGTTTCAAACATTTGTGTCGATATTACCAAATGCTTCTTGTGACAAAAATCATACACAAGTACCTCTTAAAGGCTCAGATAATCAACTAATCTACTGTACAGAAAGCAAGTAAATATTTTAGTACCAAATTTTATTAACTTTCATATACTAAATGTGTTCTTAAATATACTTATAATGAAAAAGCTAATCTTACAGTTTAGCCTTTCATTGCTTGCAAAACAAATTACATTAAAGTCTATGAACGAAGCCTCTTAGGGCTCTCTATGTGTGAAAATGGTGAATTTGGAGAAGAACTTCAAACACTTCGTTTCATAACCGCTTCGTAAAATCTGTCAGAAGTCAAAATGTTAATGGAATTTGAAGTTAAGCCTATAAGTTCTTCCAGACTATCCTCTATATCTATACTAAATTTCATCGAAATCCGTTCAGCAGTTTAGACTACAAACTCTTTTCATCCATCCATCTAAACTTTCACATTTATAATATTAGTAAAAAGTAAGATTAAAATAAACCCAGTACTTTTTGAGTTATTTCAATACATACAAAAATACAAATCTTTCCTCTCTATAATATTAGTATATGTAGATATTGTATTGTAGTATATTTTAGTGATTTAATTTTAATTTCTAATGCAAAATATATCACAGGGAATTTTGGCCAACCCTATAGTAATAGGAGTGCCAGGGTTCGTCGTACTTATGTGCCAATGTCAGACAGGTTAGCCGGGCGTTGAACAAAAAACGCCTATCGTTGGTACGATATCTCGTATTGCATGTTAATATGGATGACAAACAACGGCGCGTTTTTAACGTATGGTCCTACCTTATCGGACTCGATAGGGATGAGTAGTTACCACTTATTTACCGCTAATGTCGAAAAGTGCAACAATGTGCTCCAGACTATAGCTGTCTTATCTTATGTGCTAGATTCATGTCTAAGAAGGTTATGTTTTAATAGAACTTCACGACATAGGTGCCTCTCTTACCGAGCCAAATAAATTTGTCATAGATTAAAAAACTTACTGACAGTTCCATGTCAATAAAGGCGTGAAAACTAGCACTGACAATGGTTAGAATATGTTTTCTATTTTAATAGTTTATTTCAACACAGAGTTCTAAGGAGTAAGAAAACTTATTAAAGCTGCACAAAAGAAAAATATTTTGTTGGGTACATAATTTTTTTTTTTTCAAAAAATATCTAATCATTACTCGAAAACTTTAATAGAAAAGTAAGTTTTAAATGAGAAACATAAATCTAGTAGAAATGTAACGTAAAAACAAGATCTTATATTTCGTTTTTAACCGTAGAATAACATTAAATGTAGGAAGTTGGCAACACTTTGTGTCATAAATCAGATATCACAGTTTTTGGCTGAATATCATACGACTTAAAATTGAATACGAAAATTTAGGTTCACAGTTTATAAACTGTGTTACGTTTGTATTTTATCTTGAATATTTACTATAATTTTATCGAAGTAGTTATATTTTTATAATTTACTTACAGTCGAATTGTGAAACGAATTTCAAACATCGTAATCTCCACTTGCAATATGTTAAATGACAAAATGTTAATAGAGTTTTGAGTTTAAGCGTTGCCTTATCATTTAAGATGTCATATTTAAACTTTGTTTCAGCATTTGGCTGTTATCTTGTAAAAAGAATTCACAAACAATAACAGATTAAAAACATTATCTCATCTCCTATCTTTGGATTTTCGTATCTTTGGGTTTTCTACGATGGAAACGCGCTGCAAGTTCAATTTTACTTCTTACTTATACGCGTAATTAATGCAATGTTTCGATGGTTGCTTTAGAACTACCGTATCTGGATGGAGTTTAGTGTAAATCTAGAACTACTACTAAAGACAAAGGTATATTTTTTGTTATTCCGCGCGGAGTGTCTCGGGCCAAAACTAGTTATAAATGCAGTTGCATAATAAGATAACTGTCGATTTATTAATCAAAGATATAATACATGATCTAACATTATTTAACACGGAAAAATAGTACAAATGATAAAGATACAAAAAGATAATTAATCCTTTTATCTATACTAATGTTATAAAGAGGAAAACTTTGTTTGTAATGAATAGGCTCAAAAACTACTGGGCCGATTTTAAAAATTCTTTCGACGTTAGAAAGGTAATTTATCTGTGAGTAACATAGGCGACATTTTTTTCATTTTTTATCATTATTTTTAAATTTCATGCGGACCGAGTCGCGGGCAACAGTTCGTTTGTATAAACAATGCTTAGTCTTTGTTAACAATTTAATATTTCTGTTTTCATAGTTTGATGATTTATTTTCATTTCTAAGGGAATAATCCTTTATCGTTTCTGTTCTTGGAAATTGTGGTCCCTGCAAAAAATAATTAGCCCACCTAAAAAAAACTGAAAACTGTTAAACTGACTTATGTTTTTTCTACATTTATATACTTTAGGTAAATTATAGCTGTCCGTTGTTAATTATTAGACGTTAAAAAACAGTTAAATTATATTGCGGTCGTTATGTTTGTATTCACGTTTTCCCGCACGTCGCTACTGCGCCATTGTCTGTTTACTATACGCCATTACTAGTGCATCTAATTGTGGACCTAGAGCTAAAACAATATTTAAATTTCAATCAATTGTAAAGTTAACAATAATTATTAAGAAATGAATCGACAAAACAAGCGAGACTACGATTTATGTAATGTATGTTTCTATCTCTTTCCCGCCTTATTGCCATCTCTTTCTTATTTTTTTGTCTGTTAGCTGTTACACTTCTAATAGCTCTTCTGGTTGATCGTGAAAGGTCAACTTGTGACCATTTTATAATCTGTTTCATCGCGTCATCTCGCGTTCTTAATTTGAATTTAAAGACCAAGATTCTGTGCAGTTTAAGGTTTCATTAACTAATAACAATAAGAAATTGCTCCTATTCAATTCGACTAAAAAGCTGCTATTTTCCACTACCCACTTAGAGCGGGCGCACACCTTTGATTAAACTATCGCTCAACTATTGTGCGACTGTCGATTGTTTCGTTGCATAACTAAAAATCGAATAATGTGCGCACCTCCATAAGAATCAAAAAGAGACTAAACAGTTGTGCGATATTTAGTTTCAGTTGCACGCTCTTAAAGTAAATTCAATTAAAAAACAAGGACGTTTACACGGGATGAGCATGTGAATTAACAGATAAACATTGTAAAGATTACTTTACGCAAACATTAAATGTATGCAGAGATAATATTTGAGACGTCGCAGCGGCAGGCACTCGTCAAATACGTGATACTTGCTACATTGTGTACAATTGTTTTGAATTACATACCATATTTATAACATAAACTAGCTGTTTCCGTGCGGCTTCATCCGCATAAAACTATGAAAATTTTATTTTATTGTTTACATTTATCAAATTCTCAACAGCAAATGTCAAAATGACATGACATGACAAACCTTAGCAATCTTTTTTTCTTGATGTTGGCAGCAACTTATGGTATCTTTCCCACATTAGGGTTTTTATCCAAAATATTTACCCCCTAAGTTTAATGGCGTGAAAATATATAGCCTAAAGCGTGACGTAAGTGTAGGCTTTTTTATTAAAAAAAAAATATTCAAAAATATGCTGTAATTGCTGACATCTTAGGCAACAAAGGAGTGTGTGTTTACGCTTTATTATAATAGTATAAACTAGCTGTTTCCGTGTGGCTTCATCCGCATAAAACTATAAAAATGTATTCGATTGCTTACATTTCTCAATTGGAAAAATTACGGTTGCCATAATAAATTTGCTTCCTTAATGTTGTCTTGTACTTTATGGTCCCTTTCCCACATGACGATTTTTTCCAATTTAGCCCTAAGTTTAATAGTGTGAAAATATATAGCATAAAGCGTGTCGTAAGAGTAGGGCTTTTTATTAAAGTAAGAAATATTCAAAAATATGCTGTGATTGCTGACATCCTGCGACACAAAGTAGTATGTGTTTACGCTTTATTATATTAGTATTTAGTAGAAATATAGATAGTATAGATGAAGCTGGGATAGTGCGATTCATCCAGAAATCCAGATTATAAGAAATTGGATCATCGTCTGTTCAACAGCTAGTACGAAATAAATCTAATAAAAACGTGAAGGTTAGTGATAAGAAATTATCACTAAGCTTATCGTATTATTTAAAAATATACACAGATAAAGAAACAGTAAATGTACAAATAAAACCAGATTGAAAACGTAATATCGCGAAATAAAATCTAAAAGTTTGACTAAACTAAAATACCTAGTCCCTAATAACGATAAGAAATACATTTAGTATTTTCCATATAGAAAGAGGTAGCATATACGCAAGTGGCCAATTTAATTCCCAATAATAGAGAAGTGTAATTGATAAAAACATCTATATTAAGGTTACTTTGAAATTCGTGAGAAAGTCAAACGTTTTAGCTGCTCTTCGACAACAAATCTTCATTCGAATGAGAGAAATGTCAATAAGAAAGGCAACATTGAAACAAAATAATGAAAACTTCAACAAAAAGATCCTGTAAACAGACATCGTGTTATAAATATACGAGCTGTTATTATAAAAACTTTATTGCGTTGTTTACATTTGTCCAATTTCCAATTGCAAATATCAAAATTCAAATCCACAAATGACAACAAAGGCCAACGTAGGATAACAATTACTGTTACCATGGCAACCTTGCTTCCTCGATGTCAGCTTGTAGT